ATACGTCAAAAGATGTTGGAGACAAGTAAACCTGAGCTCATGCTGACCTCCAATTTTGGCCTTAAAAGAGTAACTAAATCCCAAAATAACATTTTTTTTTTGCTTATAAACTGTATAATTTGGGTCTTTACAAATGCAGTCTTACTGTTTCTATGCATTTTCTGACATGTCTGTGTAAACTTGATTAAATCTATAACCTAGGTCTAAAAATGTCTTAGTTCTGCCCAGAACAGCGAATACTGCATTTTAAACTTGTGATTGGAACAATTTCATGTCATCGGTACAGTCTCCTCCCACTCCCCCACTTTCATAGCACTTTTCAAATCTTGACTAGGGGTAGAGTTACATTTTCTGATGGTGTGCAGCCGCTCTTTAAGAGATTTCATAAATAACAATCTAGAGCTGACAGACCCAAAATTAGCTTTGGCGTGGGTCTAAAAAGTTAGATGAGGACCTGTCCTCTTCATAGACTGCTTTGATGTCAGAATATTAGGGTATATTACTGATTTATTTAAACATTTGCCCACATAAAAACCTAAAGTCAAAAACAGAGTGTGCACATTAAGGTAATCAGTTCTCTGTATTGCCTCAACTGGAGGAGTTTAAGTATTTCACGGTCTTGATCACAAGTGAGAAAGCAGGGGCACAAGATTGATAGGTAGGTTGGTGCTGCATCTGCAGTGAAGCAGGCATGCCGGTCTGTTGTGGTGAAAAGAGCGCTGAGTCAGAAGGCAAAGCTCTTGATTTACCTGTTGATCCACGTTCCTACCCTCACCTATGGTCACAAGCTTTGGGTAGTGACCAAAATAATGAGGGGTGTCTGGGCCCTCCTTTAGAGACAGGGTGGGACGCTCGGTAATCCGGGAGGGGCTAGAAGTAGATCTGCTGCTCCTTCACATCAAGAGGAGCCAGTTGATCAATGACCCATACTTGTATAGCGCCTTTCTGAATCAGAGTACTCTAAAGCGCTTTACACTAGAGTATCATTCATCAGTTCACACACACATTCACACACTGATGGTGATGAGCTACAATGTAGCCACAGCTGCCATATGGCACACTGACAGAGGCGAGGCTGCCAAGTACAGGTGCCACAAGTACCTCCAACCACCGCCAGCAGGAAAGGTGGGCTAATCAAACCTGCAACCTTCTGATTACTGGACAATCCGCTCTACTTCCTGAGGTACTGTCGTTCTGCTGATGTGGCTCGGGCATCTTGTGAAGATGCCTCCTAGACGCCTTCCTAGTGAGGTTTTCCAGGCACGTCCAACCGGGAGGAGACCTAAAGGCAGACCCAGAACACACTGGAGAGTATGTATCTCATCTGGCCAGGGAACATCTTGGGATTCCCCTGGAGGAGCTGGCCCAAAGTAGCTGGGGAGAGGAAAGTCTGGGCCTCTGCTTAGGCTGCTGCAGCCACAACCCAACTCGAGATACAGTAAGTGGCCAAAAATGAATGGATTGATGTTTTCTCTGTTTCAACAAATAAATGCACATTCTTATCGTAAAGCCACAGTAGCTCCTCTTTGATTAAATCTAAAGAGCAACACTTATTCCCATTATGATGAAGATTGCTCCTAATTGTGAGTCTGATAGAAATCACTGTTTTCTATAATTACATATCTGAATTTCTCAGTGACTTAATGCTCTGTAATACCTAAGTTTAAGAGGCTGGAAGATAACGGAGTAGAAAATGAATAAGTCACCACCAACAGTCTGACCAAAACAGTGAGCGGTGTAGCAAAGAGAACAGCTCGTCTGTCTCCACTCACACAGATCCATTAATGAAATCAGTGCATGTGTGCCGCAGCCCCCCCCTCCCCAACATTGAGAATTTCAAGCCGTTTGTCTGTGTCAGACAGTGTGATGCACGCCAGCATCCAGAGCCTGCAAATGAACTGTCAACAGACAATCTCTGACAATAACCGACTTAAGGAGAACGGATAACATCCAATTCAGCCGGATCCAACACTGTTAGGCTACCCGACACAAAGACATCGAGCATATGAGCTCACAGGGTAGGGTGGATGTAGAGAACACTGCTCGGCTATAATTGGATTAGAACATCAGTGAGAACTGCATGGATTTGTATGTTTATGAGTGTGAGTGTTTGATCCAAAAATATAGATGAAAATGATTTCCTGTGCAGAAAAAAATCCAAGGCAATGCAGAGTCACGCACAGGCTCTAAAAAAGCGGTGTCTCGTAGCTTTGTATATTAGTTCATTAGTATTCAGAGAGGGACTGGCCACAGTCTGTGTTTCTGTAGTAAGTTAGGAATTAAACATGCACCACCTTCAGGCGAGCACAGAGGGCTTAGCAAAGGGCAATTTGTTTCATTTAGACTGCTGCTTGTCTGCCGGCCGAATGGAATCTTATTAAGTATATCTTTTGCTTTTCCAAAATTCATACTGTTTGGCCTAAAAACAGAGTTGATGTGATTACTGCAGGCCGTGGCCTTGTGCAAAAGATCAGGACAGCTTATTTTTTAAATAACTGCAGCACTGCTCAAAGCCGCTTCCATTTCCTCCGTCCTGGATTGTTTCCTTTGGTTTTTCATCTGGGTTCCGCCGTGCTTATCGAACGCTTCCTCCACACAGAATGAAGTGCAAATGGAGGGTATTTGTACTTCCAAACTGTTACCACAAGATGTCACTCACACACTCACAAAATGAAACAAGCGTTATCTCCAGCTTAAGGCGTTTTCACTACATCTTTGCTGAGTCTGTTGAGGTCACAGCTGCAGCGTTTCAGATCACAGGACCTTAAAGTGGCACTATAGGGACACATGAGGCCAAACGTACAGTGGCTTAATGATTTATGGCTTTAAAACTTAGACTAGAGAGAAAAATGTGCAGCAAAAACTAACAGAGGAAAACCACAAATATGCACATGCAATTAGATCGTTAAACAATGAAAAAAATTGGGGAAAAGAACATAAAATCACAGTAATACAACAATGATATGAAAGAAACGTGTGTGTATTAAAAAGAGCACAAAAAAACGAGGGCTGATCTGAAATACAGTAAAATGCACACGTGGTTTAAAAAAACACTCAAAATAATATTTTGTGTGGAATATTGGATTAATTCACTGTTTTATTCAACATCTCTGTCTCAAATGTAATAATTTCTTGGCCTTTTCACTAAAGTGTGAAGCTCCATTAATTGTCACAAAGTACTACTAAGAAGTTTCTAGAAGGAATTTTTACATCACAACTGTCCAGAAAAGTAAAAGAGAAGAGGTGCTTTGCTGCTGCTGAACAGGTGGTGAAGGTTCTCAGTCATCCAGGTAATAATAATCCAAATGAGTCTCAATGAAGGCAACTGGAATTGTTTGCTTTTCTGAAGACATTTGTAAACTAAACAATTACACAAGCACATGGCACAACACAGGAGAGCCACCTCTGCATGTCAAGACTCTGCAGTCCACTCACACAGTGACCAAAGCCTTCTGGTTGTGCAGCGCACCAGGCTAAAGACCAAAGGTGACAGATCATGTGCTGCTGTGGGCCTGTGCTGCTGTGGGCCCCAGATACTGGAACTCTGAGCCTGATATAACTGGACTCAGTGGTCTCCTTTAAAAAGCAGCGGAAAACTAACTTGTTCAGGCTGGTTTTTGCATGACCTTCATCACCACCCTCTCTTTATTCTGCTCTTTCTACCAACTCCGCCTTTCCCAGAATCCACTGATTTCCCCATTCCTTTTCCTTACAGGTTTCCTTACTACCTTTTTTATTCTTTTTTATATTTTGATTTTTTTGTTTTTGTGAAGCATTTCGTGGTTTTTATCTTAAGAGGCGCTACATAAAAGATCATTTAACTTCTTTCTTACCTGACGGACAAGGGACACACTTTTGAAGATGGCAAAGTACACATTTGGACAGAGAAGATAGATGGTTTGAGACGGGGGTAAAGGAATCTACCTATGTCAAACCTGAAAAAAGAACTACACTAAACAGAGGAGGAGGCCTCGGGTTTCACCTTTCCATCACTTATAATGTAGCTCTAAAACAGTTTCAGTCTAGGTCCCACCTTCCTGCACCCAAAAAAAAAAAGTCTAACACAATAGGACCTAAGAACATCAACAACTCCTCAGGAGTAGGGGGGAGGGGTATTCATAGGTAGTCTCTGCTCATTATGCAACAACAGAAAGCTACAGTTTAATAGCGTGACCTTCCTATACTCCAGTTAGAATTGACAAAGCTCCCCTGATGAGAAGTGAAATGTTTTCAATAAACCAAAGAAGTCCAGTTGCCTTCATTCAAACCCCCTTTGGGTTGCAGCTGAATGGGGTTGTCCCTTCAGTTTTGGGGATTTTACTAGGTTAGCTGATAGATTTGTAGAGCCATAAGTCTTCATTCAGGCCAGAATATTAAAATATATTTGTACCATGAAGTGTATTGTTAATCAGGTGAACCAGTTTCCCTCTTGTTCTTGGTTAAATGTCCAAAATAAAAGGTACTACACGTTGTGTGAAATTAAAACTTATTATGTAAATTGTTGCAAAAATAACCTACTTTACTAATTCCAACATTAATCCAAGGAGGAACAATGTGGGAGACTCCAGCTGTAGTTCACTGTCAGTAACTGACCACTAGATGGCAGCAGAGACTTGTTTTATTTTTAACACCGGTTCATCCCAAACTGAGTTTGTTGTATTATATGGATTTAAAATGTAGGGCGAAGATTAAAGTTTGCTGACATATAAAATACAAAACACAATCAAGCTGCTGCATAAAGTAACTGCACTAAAGATAAGAGTGAAATAATAAAACTGCTGTTCCGACACCGAAATTCCTCGTGTTCTCTAGTTGACTTAATGTTATGATGAAAAATGTTAAATGCTGTGCGGTAAATGTTATGTAACACATTAGATGTACTATTCCAGAGACCGTTTAATCGCTTGTTTTTGAAAAAAGCTGCTTCTTTCAGCGGAGGCCAAATATAGACGTGCCAAGTGTAATCTTATGAACCGAGAACAGAACCCATGCTGACTTACATCAAACTCATTGAGCGCAGCAGCCAGCTCTCCAATGCCAGCATGGCCGTGCTTCTCCTCAGTGGGAGAGGTGGCCTGAGCGGAGCTGGAGATGCCTCCGATGGCCTCCTGGACCTGCTTGAACACGTAGTCTCGGTTGGCCCGTGTGGCTGCCACATCAGGGTGGCGCAGGAAGGCCTGGGATGCCGTGTACAGCATGGTGGCGTTTTTCTTTAGAGCCCCACGAGCAGCTGCCATCTCATCTCGACACTGGGGGTCTTTCAGCTCCTTAAAAGTTGACACAAGAACTCAGGTGAGCACAACCTACTGTGTTCATTGTAGAAATAGCTGTGCATAATATAAAAAAGTCAAAGACGTGTGGGACATTTTCACAGCATCAGTGATTCAGAACAGAGGAAATGTAAAACGAAGCTCATGGCCCATTTGATAAATGGGTGTTATTCCAGCCACATGAGGCTGAAGCTGTGTCAGCAGACTGGCAGCTGTGAAGCTGGACTGAAAGCAGCCCTGCTCTGGGACAACTTGGCAGCACAGTCACTGATTTTTTTTTCTAAATGACCTTTATTAGCTACATCTCCTGAAACTAAAATTCACATTAATGATCTCTTTTTAAATAAAATAACACCATGATGCTCAGGATAAACTCTGGGGTTGTTTTGTTGACTATTTCTATCTCAACCTTAATACAAATAATCAAATAAACCTTTTGTTTCTTCTTGTCTTATATGTGTACATAGAACATTCAGTTGTACTGAAAACTGTTTATTCTTGTAAAACAGATCCTACGTATTCTATGGTATCTGTAAAAATGTCATGACACCATATATTAGCAATGCACAAGTACTTTCAGAAGGAAAAAGAGCTTGTAGAAGTCGTATCCTCTAAATGACACCGGAATAGTTTGTTGATTTATTTCTATGTTTGTTGTTTTTCTGTGTGAAAATCCCAGCATGGGACAGGGAGGCTTCAGCTACCTGCTGTCTCCGAGCTGCCACATAGTTCAGCTTCACCATCTCTTTTCCAAACTCTTTGAAGCGGTTGGCCAGGTCCTGCTCATTGGTAGCATTTTTAACCCCTTCCAGGGCCTCCTCCACCTGTCCGGAACACGAACACACACACACACGAACACACACACACGAACACACACACAAACACACACACGAACACACACAAACACACACAAACACACACAAACACACACACACACACACACACACACACACACACACACACACACACAATTATTGAAAAAGATGAAAGGGACAAAAACTGAATACACGTTGAACGTCATACTTCAGTACAATTGTGAATCAAAACCAATTGAGATTTTTTAATTTTTTTTATTTCAGCAAAATCATATTTGGGAAAAATAATATAAATATGTCTTTATTACCTCTTATCCCATTTTTCGTTGCTGCCTGGTTATTCCTAAATGTAATTTAGTTGTTCGATATTAATAATACTTATTTCTGAAGTCTAAATCAATTCTGATTGTGCCGTTAAAACTAAAGCAATAAAAAAGAGGAAGATCACTTTTAAGAAGACTTTGATAGATTTCTGAATTAAATGTCTGCTAGAAAAATGAGCCGTGTGCTCATCTGAATGACTGAAAGTGTCTGAAGGCATGAGTTTGTCCACCACGATACCAAATCCATTCCACTTTTCTTTACCGTTCTGTATGAACTGCAATTTCTAAAGCCTCGAGCCAAGTAACCCCAGTCCCTGAAATCACCGCGGTTAGTGTGGTTTATAACACCGGGGCATTTACGATGATGCGTGTTCTCAGGATTCTCCTCCATGTCTCATTTATATGCTAATTAGCATAGCTGTGGTAATAAAAAACTGAATTGGGTATGAGGACCATTCTGTAACAACACTCAGCACATGAGCTGAAAACTGCACCTCCATGTGTCATTTGCACTGAGGTGAGAGCTCTGTTCATTTAAAGTAACTAGAAAACTTCTCAAGAAATGCTCAAGGGCGTCAAAGCAGCTGCTGCCAGAAAGTTAAACTTCAGCTTCCAACAGTAATTTGTGACTTACTGAAGTATGATTCTATGCCATTTAAAAAAAAGAGCAAATGTTTATGTTTAAACTGTGTAAGAAGTACTGTATATAAGAAATCTACTGTAAGATCAACAGAAATGTTAAAGCAGTTACCAGTGGCTCATTAGGATCAACTTGGTAACCACAAAGCTGTGAGACACAGGCTTAGAAACACAAATGCACAGATATTTAGAAACATTTTCAATTTAGCTTGAAACAGTTAAATGTTTAATAGAAAACTATAAAACGCTGAGAAAAATGATTAAACCGTGAGCAGCAGAAGGATTTGGAGGTCTCCTTTGAGGGGACAAATTATGCAAAAGATTTGTATCCTTTTGCTGCGAAGTGAGTCTCTACTGCCTCTATAAACAGTCTAGGGCTGGGTAATAAACCGAAATGTCTTGACTCTTACTGAGATAATTTTTCCCAGGTAAATACATTTCATAATAAAAAATGTGTAGGTTGGCAACATTCCTCTGAAGGAGGACTGTGCGCTACTATAGGTGAGCATTGCTGCACCTTCCTCCCATCCACACAGGACAACTGGACTCTGATTCAAGATCGTGTTCGAGCACCTGGTAACTTCCTGAAATCTCAAGAATCGGCTCGAGGACCCTTGAGCTTAATGAATTGGCTGACCACTGGTAACTGGTATGAACTCCTATTAAAATGTCTTGCACCTGTTATTTTTATCCTAGTCATGATTTGCCTGGTTATAAGTTGTGTAATCCCTTGTCTGAAAAGTATGGTAAACAAGCTGATGACAAACGTCCTGGTGCAGTATTCACTCCTGCAGCAAAGAGAGGAGCTGGAAGAAGAAAAGGAATACATTGCTTAATAAAGCTGATGAAGCTGATTCCGTTATGATTTCGTCAACGCAAACTACAGGTTCTGTAAACGTTGTCTGGATGATGTTCTAGTTATCAGCTCATTTTATCTTTTATATTGTCATTTTATTTTTATCTTTTAAACTTTAATCATTTTCATATTTACTCACAGTTTTATAGGTTGCTACCTATTTTGCAGCCTTTTGAGGATCGCTGCCTATTTTGTGATCCTTTCGTTGTGTGCCAATTTTCAATTATTAATCATTACATTATCTTTTATTGTTACTACTGTTTTTATGAAGCTGTCAGTTATATGGGATGAACTAGCATTTACAGGGAGGAATGATAGGGAAAAAGTGGTTTTCGTTGTCATTACTGCTTAAAATCATAACTGCCTTTTTAAAGAGCAAGTCACCCCTTACAAGAAGCGTACTTCGCTCGCACTTCATGTTTGAAAAATGCAACAAATGCTGTTGCCTAGCAAACCGAGAGGGTGGAGCCACTAACAAATACACACACTCACGGCATTGTGACATCATAATGTACCAGTTTACATCATAGCATACCTCTTAGCCAATAGCGGTGGCAGATTCAAATTCAAATGCAGTGAAGAGTTTTTACCTGACAACGGCACAACACTGACAGTTTCAGGAAGAAAATTTAAATTTTAACTAAAAATCACTAAAGTGCAAAACTATTGACGACACGTGTCTGCAGCACGATTAGACACACATTTATATAGTTTATCAGGAAAAAATAGTTGATTTGGGGGTGACTTGCTCTTTAAGTAAAAACACCTGTTGCTTCATTAAAATGCTAGTGTTATCTTTTTACCAGCTTTCCCGTCTCAACAGGAAGGATAACGACCTTCCTCAGATCATGCTGTTCTGTGTTATCGGCTACACTCCCATGAGAAATAGAATGTTGACTGAATGCACCTGGTTTTGTGTGAGGGAGATGCGACATTGTTTTTACCCCCTACGTTAAACAGCTTTCCACCTGACGGAGCAGTCTAGTAATGTGATGTGATGTGCTCGGTGTGTGTGCTTGCAATAAATACTCTCAGAGGGCGTACGTTCGCTGAGAGGTCTGGTGAACCATGCTTGGGTGTGGATTCATTTCATCTCTCCACTTTGCAAAGTAAAATTGAACAATAATATTGCTCTAATCCTCTGTCCTCTGTGCGTTTGACTTCTCTTTAAGGTGAACTGGTTTTAATAAAAAATAACCCAACAATGTCCCTTTAAGAAGCTGTACCACCTTGAGTTACGTAAAATTGTGACTCAATGTGATACACGTGACAGCCCCATCTAGTGGACAACTTTTGTTTCCTCCACTTATTTCGCCTTCCCGAGGATTTACTGATTTCCCTCTTTCCTATTCTCTCTCTCTTTCCCTCCCCCTCTCTCCCTCTCTCTCTCCCCCTCTCTCTCTCTCAAAATGGTCTATTTTAGCCTATTTTAAACATAATTGTACTCATTTTCTAAAATCTTTTTAAATTTTTAAATTTTTTGTTTTTGTGAAGCGCCTCATGATTTTTATCTTGAGAGGCGGTATAGAAAAGATTGTTTTCTTTCTTTCTTTTCTGCATGTAACTGTAGTTATCTTCCATTTCATGGACGTAATTTTTGGGGGGGACGGGGGGGCATGTCCCCCCCACTTTTTCCAAAGTCAAGCTTTGACCCCTGTACTTTTTACCATCCAAAAACAATATTACGCTATATTAAATTGACACTGGTTGAGCTCTAGGACCAAGCAGAAAACAACCATTTGTGTTGAAGCCTGTTTCCCATTAGAACATACTGTAAAGATCCCCCCCCCCCCCCCCCCCCATGTCCCCCCCACTTCTAAAGTGAAAATTACGTCCATGGTCCATTTATCATTATCGAGGTGAAATCCTCAATATATCGTGATATTAATTTTAGGCCATATCACCCAGCCCTAAAACAATCCAAATGGGAAAAAACATCCCTCCACATTCTGTCAGTATTTGGTTTTAAGCATGATGTGTCTAAAACAAGCTGTTCCTGTTTGTGATGTCACAAATGGGTAATTGGGGAATAGAACCACCTCTCACATGCAAGAGAGAACTTCTGCTGGAGAAGCAGCAGCTCTACTCCAAGACCCTCCCAGATATCAGAGCTCTTTAGCTCATAGCAGCCAATCAAGGGAGGGGTGAGCGTGGCCAGGAACAACCTGAAAGGGCTCATTCTGGAAGGTACTGAAAATTGTCAAGAATTAAACAGTTGAAATTGCTTTATGTGAGATGGATTCAGTGCAAAAAACTTCATGAATACGTTTTTTTTTTTTTTTTGACAACAGGAAAAGTCACAATATCTCCTGTTAACAGAGACATGTCTTCAGCCAAATCTGCATGTATATACCGAAGCAACTATCTCGGAGGGACAAATACTTAGGAGGCATCAGTTTACTTCCTGGAAATCTCAAAAACGTGATTTTCTCTCCCTTTAATATAGTCTCGCATAAACACGCAAAAGAAAAAAAAAACACAGAGCAGGATGTACCCCTACAAAACAAAACCCCAACAAATGAGAGCATATACATTATACTTAACACCCCCCACTCAGGCCCCTTGCCTTGGCCCCCAAAATGTCTTGAAACGGCCCTGGGTGTGTGACTTTTTGAAGGTGATCTGAATTGTATCAGATGTATAAATATTACATGTGTGTAACTTATTGTTTTATACATGTAAAAACGAGTAGTGGAGATAAATCTACCTACATTTGACTTTTCAACACTTTATGTTTTCTTGTTTTTATTGACCTATTTTCCTGTCCTGTCTGTCTCTCATCTTCCTGCATCTCCTCTAAACTCTCCAGAAGAACTGCTGCCTGGATTCTTACTTTTTCACCTCATCAGTTACTTTTGAGCAGATCAAAGGGATCTCCTCACCGCAAGTTGGAGAGCGCGTTTCGATGCTGCGTCAGTGATGTGAAATCACCGCAGCACAGGTGATGAGCTACGCAGTAGCAGAGCGCTTCAGGCACAAATGAGACAGAAAGTAGAGAACATGTGCGGACATGAACGATCGTGTGTTAATTATAGATTTTTGGTTGTGCCACTTTGAGAATGGACCGTGCGCTGGACGCAGGAGCCTGGAGCGCTGCGCAACAACGATCAGCTGTGCCGCTCTCTGTGCTCTCAGCTCAAAAGAGTCCATAAATGATGTAATATAGGTAGAAAACTTTTTTCCGGCTCCCCTGGATGTGTAAGATATCCAGCTCCTCCATAATTCCATCCCTGCTCCTGGATGAAAAGCCGGACATTTTCATCAATACAAGAACCCCCAGTCCGGACGCCCCAGACAGAGAGTGAAAAGTGGACATGTCCGGGGAAAATGGGACGTACGGTCACCATAGTTTAATATAAAGCGGGAGATTACAGATACAGTAATTTGCTGGTGCCCTTGCTGCCCTGGGCAATTGCTCAGTTGCCCATATGGTTAATTCGGCCTTGCCCCCACTTGCGTTCACTGTGTCAACCTCAATGTTTCATAAAGAAAAGAAAATACATAGCTTTTATTTATTTATTTATTTATTTTTGTAGTTAAAGGTTTGGAAGTGAGAAAAATAGCAGGTGAACAGAAATTAGGCTGTTCAGTATTTTCATATTGGCACTCCTTAAAAAAATATTTGATTGCAAAGAAATCAGGCCATAAATCAGATTGTCAACTCATGTGTTCACATGCTGGGAATGACTCCACTTACAATTTTAAGATGGGCCAGCAGCCTCATGACGTCGGCCATGTCAGCGAGGATGAGCAGGCGGGTGACGGCAGAAAGCAGGGCGCGAGCAGCCCTCACCATGGTCCCGCGTTTCACAGAGGAACACGGGTCGTCGGCAAACTCAGACGAGGCGATTCGCATCGTCTCTCCTGCAAGATGGAAGGAGGAAAAAGGTGTGTGCAGAAAACAGGAAGGGGTTTATTTGTGTTTGTCAGCATGTGTGTGTACACCAAAATTACAGAACTTGTTTTATTGTTCATCAGCTGCATTCACAGCATCTGACTAAAAATACAAGTATACTTTTACTTAAATCTGAGTCAATATTGTTTTACGAGTTCATAAATAACTTCTACACATCTTAGACAAAAAATAAGTAGCATGTCACATTATTTGCATGCCATCGTGTTATTTTCATTTCTTATGAAAGTTTTCTTTTGTATTTTATGTTGCAATCACAAGCCTAAAATAAAAACACAGACCACGCCTATTTTGTGATAATTGAGTACCAGAGTAGAACAAACATACACACAGTCAACATGCAAACACCCCCTTCCCCCCCACCGGCAGGTCCATAGACACTCCTCTCTTGACGTGATGAACAATGCTGACCACAGCACCACTGTGCCAAGCATTCCCATAAATAAGGATGAAAGTTCCTCACATTGCATCAATATTCCAATAGCAAAACAGCTCTCCCAGCTTACAAGAAATTGGAGAGTAAATAAAATTGTAATCACCAAAAGTCTTCTTCAGAAATAAATTCTACAAAATCGAGTTACAAGAGTTGGGAATGTGCCAATGCCTTTATTCTCCAGTAACGTCAGACTGCTGGGACACTGAATGAACTTGTCAGCAGTGATGCCGCAAAGAGTCTGATTATTAAATCTCCAATTTAGCCATGACAAGATAAAAGGGTTGGGTTCGATGAGGTCACAGAGACACAGATCTAATGAGCCAATGTCAGATTTAAAGACATTTCACACTCCACAGCAGAAGCTAGCATGCTACAACATGTGAGCCGCAACCCTCTTGTTAGCAATCCCTATCCTGATTATGAGACGCACTCACAAAATTCAAGTTAAAAATGAGTGATTCCACATGAAAATTCCCAAAATGCTTTCGTTTTGAAACCAGCCGTTGCTTTTTTCAGAACGTGAGCGCTGTGGTGTTTAAGCTAGCACCTGCATTTGCTAAAGGAGTCTCTTGATCGATAATCAAAATGTTTTGAAACGTAAGTTAACAACAAGTCAAGTTAAAACACAAAAGCTTAAAGTTTCTTTCAACAAGAATGCACGCAAGCTAAATGACCCCCCAGCACCACAGCTGGACATTTTTCACATAAACAATCATCTGTTTTAATTCACATTTATTCCTGCTGCTGAGTTGTGCTGTGTATTCTTAGCAGCTGTTGAAAATTGTGCCTAGGTCTCATTTCAAAATTCAGATTCAGCAGATTTGAGTACAGCCCGTTGATGCGGACCTTCACTCATTGTGCAGGACCTTTAAATGGTCTTTTGGAAGATGTTGCGTCACCGCCTCATTTGGGCTCACTTTAACAGTGATGGTGTTGTGATCTGGAGAACAAATCTAAGCACAGATCTTTAGAAAAAGTGCTGTTTTGTTCAAGCCTGCTGTACACAGGTGGCATGAAGTCCAACACCCTGAATGCAAAATGTTGATAGGCAAAAACAGGAAGTGCAGTGTAAGTTGTAGGGTACTCAAACAAAAAAAAAATCATAATTTTATTTTAAAAATCCAGAATTCCCACGCTTTCAGAAAAAGATTTGCACCTATAGGCAAGACAGTGTTTCCCCTACAGAGGCAAGGCATGGCGCTGCACCACGACTGCAATTCTAGCACCACAGCTGTCAAACCCCCAACGAGAAGCACTGAAGCAAAACGTTCCGAGCACAACTATTACCTCGGGCGACGGTGGCACAGGAGTTAAGTGCTCGCCCCGTAATTGGAAGGTTGCAGGTTCGTGCCCCGCTCAGTCTGTCGCTGTCGTTGTGTCCTTGGGCAAGACACTTAACCCACCTTGCCTGCTGGTGGTGGTCGGAAGGACCAGTGGCACCTGTGCTCGGCAGCCTCGCCTCTGTCAGTGTGCCCCAGGGCAGCTGTGGCTACATCGTAGATCATCCCCACCAGTGTGCGAATGTGTGTGTGAATGGGTGAATGACTGATTGTGTTGTAAAGTGCCTTGGGGGGTTCCAGGACTCTAGAGGGCGCTATATCAAATACAGGCCATTTACCATTTACGGTATTTTCCGGACTATAAGTCGTTCTTTTTTTCATAGTCTGGCTGGTCCTGCGACTTATACTCCGGAGCGACTTATATACCAAATTATGTAAACCGTGCTGCTGTGGGCCGGCTCCGGTCCAGGTTTCAGCTCCTCTGCCCCGCTGGGAGGGTTTCAAACACCGCCATCACCTGCTGTAGCCTGTGGCGGGGTGCTGCGGGCGCTCTCCCTGCCCGCTGGGAGGGTTTGAAACACCGCCATCCTCTGCTGGAGACCGTGGCGCGCTGCTGTGCCCTGATTCTTTATTCTGTTATTGTTACCGGTACTTGCCTTTTAATGTGAAATGCTTGGTCTCAGATTTTGTAAGAAAAATAATAAAATGTCCCCCAAAATGCAACTTATAGTCCAGTGTGACTTATATATTTTTTTTTCTTCTTCATTATACATTTTATGGCTGGTGCAACTTATACTCCGGAGCGAATTATAGTCCGGAAAATACGGTACCCTTCCCCGCGCTCTCACGGATGGCACACGCCAGCGAAACGGTCTCGAGCACGCGCCTCTTGGAGAAAACCTGACAACCAAGCTGGCTGAGATGGAAATCTCAATGTAATCTTCCTTCCAACAAGATTGAGATATTAGACCGTTTTGGGATTATTCTATGTTAAAATTCTATCTTTAATGTCAAATATGCACATTTGCACACAAATGCAACAACCAAAACAGTATTTCTGAAAACATGGCTTTACTATGAGTTTCACTAGTGTACCTAACAAGTTGGACGGCCGATCTAGTGTTTTTTTATGTGAGCTCCGGTGACGACCTGCATAGCCTCGGTCGTATTCATGTGTCAGGAGTGAACACAACCAGCAGCCGAGTGGTGCTGACGCTGCAGGATGAGGAATGAAGCTACAACACAACAAATGCTGACACCAAACCCGTTCTGCTTAAGTCCCTACTAAACAGGACACCCATTACCATTCTAGGACCAAACATTTTATTTAAATACATTAAGGTTTACTAACCTGCTTTAAATGCAAAAAAAAGGTTTGCTAAACCACAGCATGCTTAGCATATTTGTCAGGCTGTTCATACTTTCCACACTCGTATGCCACATGTTTGTTTTGTCACACAGACCGAGACAAATTCCCAAACGATGATGTTGGGATGTTAAAAAAGGAGACTGGCGACAACTCAGGGCTGAGAGGCACTAAGCAGGAACAGGAATGTTTTCTGACCAATCAGCAGAAAAGAAAAGGCATCAAAACGAAGCTCAAGTGCGACTTTTCTGTTTGATGAAATGAAAAGTAACAGTCGTGTGGAAATTTTTGAGTTCATAGATTTATATAGTGGCTAAAGAAATTTGTCGAGGTTCCTCGCCTTCACAGACAGCTGAAGGATTAACGATGCATGAGTTCAGAGTAAACAACTCCCATTCTGGGATCATTACGTCCGAGAAGCTGGATGCATCGAGTTAAGCCCAAAACTAATAGGTTCTAATCTGTTGAATTGAACAGATTTGACTTGCTACTGTCAACTCTAAATCCGCCCAAATTTGCGCAGACATTTGACATTCTCTGACATTAAGGCCACTTAATGGTTTCTTACAAAGATTGTAATTTTACATGGATTACTTCCTCTACCCAACCGTGAACGCCAGAGGAAATGTTTCTGTGAGAGTAGGGCTGCTCGGTAGCATCGTCTCTGGGACCAACCTACCTTGCTTACGAACATCCTCCACAGCAGCGATGAGCTCCTCCTTCAGGTCCTGGCTGTCTTTAGCGATCTGCTCTCCCTTTTCAAGAAAGTTCTGGGTGGCCTGCTCTACAGAGACTGCCAAGACGTGAGCCTTCTTAGATCGACCCTTCTTCTTACCGGACGGCCCTTTGTTGCTGGTGTTTACCAGAGTGGTCACCTAGGAAACAGGAGAGTGTTACAGATGAACGAGGGACAAAAGGGTTTATGATCTACAGTTTTATATTCCAGCTATGACTTATTTCTGCTATTGTTCTTTCCCGACACTGAGACATTTGGAGACGTTATTGATCAACATTATTAACACATAAATCAGAGACACAGAAAAATGAAACCATTCCTCAAGAGTCATTTCTTTTTTCTTGGGCTGTGGATTGTAAAACAACATAATTTATCTTACAAACAGTCAACAACTAACCATACTGGACAGCAAGAAGCCCAAAAACTCTTCTTTAAGAAAAGTGAGGATGCTGGGCTATGAAATCAGTCTCTAAAGTCCAGTTTCATCAAAGACAAATATTGATTTGGCCCTAAGGCAATAATTTCCTTCATCTGAACTCTTACGGACAAACTAGACTGAAGAGAATCAATAGAACGATGAGTAAAAAATGAGCCTTTGATCTAATTGTGTTCAGTGTTTAACAGGAGGAGGTTTTCTAGGGGCAATCTAATAAGAGACTTCCGGAGCTTCTGAAGCTGTCAGAAAATATCTCTGTATAAACTATAAAGCTATTGATCTCCACCCGCCATCGCACACAGCACCAACGGCATTGGGTCAAAAGAAAAAGACAGGACAGGAGGGTTTTCGTTTCAGAGCAAACATGCTATTGATCATGTCTACTGATGTGGAAGTGATTCTGCCGAGGACGTCTAGGGAGCGTAAAGAAACAACTTCAAACAAGCTGCATATGTAAAAATAGAGTAAAACAACAAGCTGCAGAAATACGTAAACATTAAGATAAAACTTTAAACTAAGATGCAGCTGAATGGTCTTAGAGATGAGAGCCTATATATAATAAATATACATTTATATTAAGCTAAACTACACTCTCATGAGACAAATGATCTAAATCTAAAATATGAAAATTCTGTCTAATAAATGCACTAAAGCTGCAGGATCTCACTGCTGTTGGTCCCTTCTCAGCCAAACACAACAACAGTCTCACCGAGGCTAGCCACAATCTGACAGAAGCCGTCTCATGATGTGATATGATTAGTTTGTGAAATATAGAAGAGCATTTCACTCTTAAAAGCCTCTAAGAGCAAAGTTACGTCCTCTCAAGCCTGCATTACTTTAGGCCTTCTAGCCTGGAATATAAACTTTAATGATGCATGTCCTTGCTCATGATGAATCCATGAATAGTCGTGCAGACATGAGACATAGCCAACTTTTCAGGTGGTTTGGTTTTGTTGAAAAAGTGTCATTAGGGGTCTTCCTCTGGGATACATAGGGAGAATGTGCATGGCCTGGCAAACCCAAGACACGTACCTTCTCCCTTATATATTCTATCTATGTGATCACTTTCCTGTCGGGTACGTAACGGCACAGCAGGACACTTCTGCACCCCACAGTCATGCCCCAGCTGGCAGGCCCCTTCAAAATTTCTTCAGGAATGTTCTAGTGTGAATATTCGTTTTTTATTAAAGTGACCCACACAACTAAAGATGCTTCAGCTACTTACAGTTAATTACTCTTCACCTTAAACCAGTGGTCTGCAAATGGCAGCCCGCGGGCCACGTCCGGACCGCGAGCCCTCTCTTTGTGGCCCCCAAACCCTGCACCCTACCCCCACCCCCGACGGCCGACCAGGATAGGTAGGATAGATAGAGCTGAGAAAAACAAATAATCAATGCATCAAGATGCGGGCATAAACGATTCTGCATCACAGAACAGAACCATAATCAACTACAGTGGAACGTGGTTTTGTTATTTTAACGGCAGCACCAGCGTAGCATCCACATCAGTCAGAGTGGGTGTTCTCCACATTTACCGGGTAGGAAACTTTGGTCAGCCTTTATGTGGTACTGCAGGACTGAGCACTGGAGTTGTAACCTGAGACCGAACCCGAACCGAATCAGCCTGATCGGTTCTGTTGGATTTGGGCCGTGAATTATGTTAATTGAGTGGGTTGTCACGCGGCGTGCTCCGCTCGCTTGATCAGCGACTGAGAGAGAGAGAGAGAGAGAGAGAGAGAGAGAGAGAGAGAGAGAGAGAGAGAGAGAGAGAGAGAGAGAGAGAGAGAGGATCTGAGGACGCTCCTCCAAACACGCATTATTATTTTCATAATTTCATTATTATTTCTCCTCGAAGCGCTCAGTCAGACCGAGTGCTGTGATGTCGGGAGGTCTGGTCTTGGGGAGGGGGCGGGGTCAGTGACGGCGGCTGCAGCGCGATCATCTGTCTCTTTTATTTAGGGACACGGAGAAGTTAAAAGGAGAGAGAAATAGAAGATAGAAATTTTTGTTCCACTTTATTCTTTTGTTTCTTGGTGATAAACTGATGTTAAAACTGGGAGGAAGCTTTGGTTCATTTTAAGTTACAGGAGATCTGGTCTCCTATCTGCTCCTCCAGAGACAGCATGGACATAAGGGTCACATGGTGAGGGTCCCACAGGACAGGTTAGTGCAGTCACACAGCCGAGCTGGAGGGGGACAGGTGTTGTCCAGCTTTATATTGCAAGCTTGTGTGTGTGTGCATTACAGCCAGTTATCGAAACAGCAGCAGAATCACGTGTAAGAAAGAAATGCTGGATGGAAGAGCAGCGGCTCTACTCCAAGCCCCTCCTATATATAGGAGTTTCTCAGCTTATAGCAGCCTGAGTGGGTGAGGGTTGGACGTGTCTAGCTAGAGCTTGTTTTCTTAAAGTGAGAGCCCTAAAACGGCTCATTCGGGAAGGTACTAAAACATTAAAGCTGCTGAAATAGTAGGATGTGTGTTTAAAGCCTGTTTTAAAAAGTTCTGTACAAATTAAAATATCTCTGGCTGAAAGTTAAAACAAGCAACGGCTTGATTTTCACAAACCCCATGGTGCAAAACAAGTGAGTGTTAGTTGTTGTTTATGTGGTTTAAAGCTAATAATCATAAGGTAAATGCATGAGGATTAAACCAAGCCAAAAAACTTTAACCTTACACCTGAAATCAAGCTAATCAAGCTACTTATTATTAGCTTGTGTGGATTATTTAAGTCCCTGAAATAAATTTGCTTAATTATGTGGAATCTTCTGTCTGGGTCAAAGGAAGCAATCGCTGAATGAAAGAAAAAATTCTAACAGCCCAGTGCTTAATCCATATTGCATGATTAAAAAGAAATTAACAAGAAAAAAAGCAATGCATGATACTGTAATTGCACTATGAGAAGACAATCAAATACAAAGCTACATTAAATTCAGTTTTGGAAAGGCAGCTGGTAATTGGCCCTTGGCATGCCTAGTTATTGTGAACATTAGCAGCATTTTATGCAAGGCCACACCGATGTATGTAGCCACTAGTTATGTTATTGCCACATCATTTCACACACAGCAAGTTTCTACAATACGAACCTGCATACAACTTAGAAACAAGGCAGACTGGTATGGATAGGAACATGCTGTGGTGCACACCGTGATACACTCAGCAATAAGCTCAAGATTATACCCAAGAAAACACAAGAGAACAACTGCACAGTGTTATCTTATTCAAATAAGGCCGATAACGAAAATGTGTGCAATGCAATAGGTTTCTTCAATCAAGACTCTAAAATTCAGGAGCTTAAGCTGGGAAAAACTACCATGCAAAATAAATAAATTTCCTGCAGCGGTAGCGATGCTCTGCCTTTCCTTTTTATTGCTTCTCAATAGTTTTAAATGCCTGTGGCCATTCCTCTACGGTGCACTGACCAGTGAACTCTCCAGTACGTTGTAAATTACCGTAGCCACGTGTGGCCATTCAATTTTCTGCCTTCAGCCTTGGAGAATTGTATTCATTGGATGCGTGATGATTTAACTGTTGATCTTTAAGAAGTGTCGAATTCATGTACAAGAGCCATTTAAACACACATAAAGCTCCTGAGATAGTTTAACTTTTTCAAAAAGGTAGTGCTGCACAGTACATGAAGCTCCTTATTACTGAACTGATAATGCGTGTCACATGAATAGTGAAGGGTGCAACGTCTACTAAAAGTCAGGTGAAAAGCCATCAATTATTGAAAATTGTGTTATTATATAACTAATGCAAACATAAAAAACACCCATGTCATTAACTCATTCACTGCAATTCAAACGACTAAAGTCATCATTTTAGATCCAACCGTTCACTGCCAATGACGACTAAAGTCGTCATTTGCATTTTTTTACTGTTTGGGCAACAGAACGAGCCCCCGCGCTGAGAGAACGAGCATCTCAGCTCTGAAGCCGATCTTCATCCACATACGTCACACGTCACATGATCAGGAAGCAGAAAATCCACGTGTTAGGAGATCGTTTTGGGCCTTTCGTGTAAAAAAAGGTGAGGCACGAACCGGAAAAGCTTCTGCCGATCACAATTCAACAACGGATTATGAAAGAACGGATAACGCTCGAAACACGCGGATTCTTCCTGATGTGAGAGGTGAGTCTCCTCTTTGTTTTGGTTGTTTTGGCGTCGACATCATCCTAACGCGCAACGTTCTGTGACTTAAAAACAGTAAAAACGGAAAGAAACTCTGGCAGCGAGGGCCTGTAGCGATCAGGAGACGGCTGGCAGCGAATGAGTTAAACATATGCAAGATATGGACTAAAGAAGTCTCACAGATCAAATATGGTTTTTCAGCAAAGACTTATGTATCACTTAACATAATTCTGAAACTTAAAAGTTATCTAAGTGCAAAGGACCAGGGATTAGTAGGTATTAGGCTTGGAAAAGTAATAAGGGTGAGTTTTATAATGAGGTGTTATAATAGACGTGGCAAGCTCTCCCTTTCAACTCTAGCGGTGTGCATATCCTTTTAAAGCTGTTCATGAATAAAATAGGTTCAATAGCTGGGGATAAATATATGAGAAGCTGTTTATTAGGGCAATATGTTGTGTTACATTAAGACTTGTTCAAATTCTACAATGCGTTTTTAAAAAAACAGACTAAGCGTTTTGCATTTCCACGTTTCTACATAGCAGAAGTAGCTATCTCAAAAACAAAGTGACAAGGAA